TTTACTCACATCCTGAAGCTGTTCCTCAACTGGAAACTATGTCACATTCTAAACCTTCTACATCTGAAACTAAGTGAGTATTTGAACAAAAACTATAAATAATAAAAATGTTTTTTGTCTTTGTTTAATTAATTTGAATATTCTAAGTATTAGTACGGGAACCAATAAATTTTGTAATTTTTTAATTACCTATTCATGTTATTTTAATAACACAATAATATAAATATGTAATTATTATGATATGTTTTCTTATTGTCTAAATTAAAATAGGTTTCATTTATCTCAAGTGAATGTATATTATATTTACTTATTATACAGTTACACATCACATAATTAATTTAATTTGTAAATTGTGTAGTAGGAAAATGGTTGCCAGTATCGCATCATTCTGGAAATATCTAATTCGTATTCTTGGAGACTAACAGCCGTATGCATAGTCGATCGCCAGCGACTCGCCAGAGATTCATTTCGGCGCATCGCCAGCGATTCGCTGGCGATCCGCCGGCGGAAGCCCGAAAAGCTGGCGACTCGCCGGAGATTGTCACCGGAATGTCATTTCACGCAAGTTTTCATGTTCTTTTATAGTGAAAAATTTGATATTCGTTCATTATTTTTTGAGTTTTAAGAAATGAATCATGAATAAAATGCGAGATATACCGGTGATAATCAGTATAAAAGAAAATAAAAACTTGCGTGAAATGACATACCGGTGACAATCTCCGGCGAGTCGCCAGCTTTTTGGGCTTTCGCCGGCGGATCGCCAGCGAATCGCTGGCGATACGCCGAAATGAATATCTGGCGATCGACTATGCATACGGCCTTGAAAGGCGATGCATTTACTGACTTTTCTCGTTCAAACGTCCACGACGAGATTAAAAAATAATTGGGCAGTATAAGAACCGATAATTGGATCAATCTCGTAAGGCTAAGACACGCTAAGATACTTCTGGGTGAATATAACCAGGAAACCATGGCAGGAAACATCGGAAGCCTGTGTGAGATCTGTATACCCATTTATAAATGGCAATGTTAGTACCCGTGACGCTATCTATGTTTCAGCTTCATATAAGTTTCTCCTTATATCACAGTCATCTCTAGTCTGTGACCCCGTAGGATTATATATCGTACGTAGATGCCCCCACGAGTACTAAATAAGAGTCAGATGCGCATTGTCTTGTATTAGAAGTTCGTATTTCATCTTGAGTTTTGTCTTGTATTATAACCATTACTGAATTACTGTGTTTATCAGAATACTAGAGAATAAAAGCTTACAACAAGGTGTTGTTTTATTGAGTTGTGTATAAATAAGGCATACATCACCGCCTGCATCTGCCTGAGCAAGAACAGGCTTCTTATTGTAACAGGGATCCTTACCGGGCATTATCGACTTAAAGGACACCTTAGTAAACTGAGAGTAGTAGAGGATAGTGAGTGCAGATTCTGTGAGGAGGAGGACGAAACCTCCATTCACATTCTAACTGAATGTGTAGTACTCCAGAATCCAAGGGCACTATACCTAGTAGGAGGATATCAAATAGAAAAGAGAGAGATTTACCTAACATGAAGCCACTCCTACACTTCCTTGGGAAGATAGGATTGGAAGGGTCGTTATAGGCATTGAGACATTTCCTTGGTGCATTAGCGACAGAAGGGGCACAATAGATATTTTAGGTCGCAGTGTATTAACACCCCATCCCAACAACATCTCAAGTGAATGTATATTATATTTACTTATTATCACGTCTCATAATTAATTTAATTTGTAAATTGTGTGGTAGGAAAATTGTTGGGTTTTATTTATCTGTAGTTAATGAATATTAGTTTTAGTTATCTAGGTACCTGTCACATAATTATTTGATTTATAAATTAGGTATGTGAAAGGAAAATTGTTGGCAACTAAATTATTATAATCACCCCATTATCCATTAGGTATTAATTGTTATTAAACCAAATGAGTACAATAACACAACGTCTCTAAAAAATTGCTTAACGTTGTTCTATTTCTAACGAAATTAAGTTTTATTATTCAAAATATTGTGTATTAGAAAACCTTGGCAATATTTTAAAACGGTGTAATTATGAACTTATCATTTATTACATAAGTATCGCTTTATTCTAAACTGTTACAAAATGAATTACATACCTATTATAAAAATTGTTTTTTTAACCCTACTGTCCCGATTATTAAAAACTATAAATATTTTGTGCACAAAATTTAATTAACTTAAAAGGGACTAACAATAAACAGATACTTTATTCTATTTTTTATTACATATATAAGCGGTACTCATAACAAATCAATAAAAATAATTTACAAAAGAATCGATATTATTAAAAAATATTAGTACAAAAATTTAGAATTTATAAAACCTATCATTGCAACGTTTATTCAAATTATTTGTGTATAAAAATAATGTATGTTTTTAATATAAAAAATATATGTATTGGTCGACTGAAAAATTCATTTTTGACGGTTTTCTATAAACATCTCATATTAGAAACATTGATCCATTGAAATATCTCAAAACTAATAAAATAATATAAATCGAAAGCATTTCTATTGACATTTATTTGATACGCTACTGGATAATAAAACTAACAAACCCCGCTCTTCCCCTCCTAACAACTGGCTTGTATATGTTGCTTTCAAACAAACGCAATGTAAATTTTTGACATTCAGTTATCTATTAGGCATTCCAAACAAATGAATTACCAGTGGGCAGGTTTGGTATATCTAAGGGTGGCGACATATGGTGTATTCTATCTACTTTACGTAAAATCATGAATAATGGATTACATTTAAATATTTTATGTCAAACACAATAAAAATAATATTTCAAAAACCCACCTATACATTTCTCCATAAATTGGCAGGCTTGGCGAGTACTACTTCGAATAAAAATAGCGTCCAAGTTGCAAGACTATGTCGCTACCCCCTTAAATATACAAGAATTTCCCACTGGTACCTATTGTTTGACAGGTCGTTGGAATGCCTAATTATTATTTATCTGGATACCTATTCTCTAACTCATGGGAGCACTCCCACACTCCCATACTCCCATGCCAACGTTGCCAAGTCGACAGAATAACTTTGATCTACTATTTAAGGACCGATCCACCGTTGTGTTAAACGAAGTTTAAAATGACATTTTTACATTAACAATGTCATTTTAATCTCCGTTTAACTCAACGGTGGAATCAGCCCTTAGTAATTCAAATTTGCTTTGTGATAAATACGGACCTAATCTGGCAAGCCCGCAATTCTCCCTCCCATAGTATAAAATCTGACCTTACTACGCATGTACCTGGGCTAAAAGTGAGTAAGCACGATATACCCACCTAAGAGTAAGAGAGCAAAATATATGGGAGCACTCCCATGGGAGCGCTCCCATGACTTAGTGAATAGCTATCCTGAGGTCCAAATGGCTACGTGGGGAGTGACAGTTTAGATCTGGCAACCCTGTTGTCATTAACAGGGTCAATGATGCATATATAGTTATATAGATTGCTCAAAGCTGGTCGTTTGCGAGCGGCCATATTGCCTGGCAAATATTTATTAATTTGAATCGGTTTAGCAAAAATGTATTTTAAAACCAATTTTCAGCCTTTAGATATTAAAAAAATAATAATTGCTTACATTTTTACTTCAAGGCATAAGCCTATGTTTATTTTAAAAAATATGGATGATCAATCTATGTAACTATCTATTTCATTGACCTTGTCAAATCACTAGGCCTACAGAGTTGCCATAATTTAGCCAAATCATAACCTGTCAAAACCCACTGGTAGCCATTCAGTTTGGAATGCCTAATATCCTACAGGACAATTTACCCAGCTATCAAAACGGGAGAGTTTCGTTATCTTGCTCTTGGCAATCGGATACCAATGAACTTGAGTTCATTGTCAGATACCCTCAAGTAATATAATTAAACAATGTATTTGAAACTTCTTTTACAGGATGCATAATGCGTGTGTTGAACTGTCACTAATCGGAATATACCGAACGCCAAAAGGGTCGTTTGGAGTTAAAATAGTGAATGGAACTTGTCTGTCCAAACTTCCCTTCTGTAAAACAAATTAGATAACTCTACAAAGATACCATTTACCCAATGATTCTAAATCATTCTTACCTAATCTGTACATAATAGACAGTTTAACACGAGTGATAAGTGACATTATCAAAAACATTTCACTCCTGTCCTGTCTTGAATAATCGATCGCACCTATCACTGTGGTTTGACTTTTTATTTTTGACATGGAATAAAATAGTGTTGTGGTTATGTTTGTGTGTGGTTCAATGAACTGGAGTGGGGTAGAAAGCCAATGTGCATAATGGGTCCTATGATTGAACGTTTACGTTATCCGTAACGTACATGTTAGGCCGAATTTTAAAAGTAACGAGGCAAGTTCGGATGATGGAAAACTGTTAAATTAGAAGATAACAGGCGGAAAATAACAGAAATGTGTTGGAAAAAGTTTTCTATCATATGAATTTGCCTCGTTTCTGTTAAAACTCGGCCTAACATGTACGTTACGGATAACGTAAACGTTCAATCATAGGACCCATTGTATCAATAGAACAATATGCGACTCTATGGGCGCAGCCATTTTTATTTCTCATCTCACTCGGGAGTATTTATGATAACCATTTTCTGTTTCACTTTGTTATTGTTCAATCCACATGCTGGTGGATCAGACAATAACAAAGTGAAATAGAAAATGGTTGTTATAAATACTCCCGAGTGAGATGAAAAATAACCTGTCTTTGCCCATAGAGTCGCATGTCAAGCCTATTGACAAGCATTCTACCCCACTCAAGTTCATTAGGCGAGTTCGGTCAGTCAGGGGCTGGAGCGGGACAAATTTTAGGGTGCTTTTAAATGACATTTAAGCGTATTAAACTGTCACTAATCGGACTAAACCGAACGCTAAAAGAGTCGTTTGGAGTTAAAAGTGTTAAAGGAGTTAAAGGAACGTGGCAAACCGAACGCAATGATAGTGTGGTTTGTGTTCTGTCGTTTAGTGTAGCGGCGTCAGCAAAGTATAAATTATAAATAAAGCGAGCGGTTATTTAATTAATTAACAAGCACTTTTATTATCAGAAACTGTTATAATTATATAATTGGTAGGTAATTTAAAATTCACAATGTATACAAGTATTTTTAACTGTAAAAACCTATTACCATAGGATCTTATTTACCCACAATCAATGTAATAACAGCAAACAGTATTTTAGATATTTTCTTAAATTAATGCGATGTTCAAGTTCAATTTATAAGGAGTAGAATTATTATCTTTGCTGATTACAGTTAAAAAATATTAAAAATAATTTTTTTGTGTTTTATGAACTGCCTAGTTTATTGTGTAATCCATAAGATCTAGGAGAAAGTAAGTTTGTATTGTGCTCGGTATTGTGTAAGTGTGATTGTTATATTGGTTTCCTTGCGTTTCCTTTTTCCTATAGCCGACGCACTTATCACAAATTGATTTTTGTGTTTGATAACCTAAAAAATGACATTTCTAATTGAATTAGCGAACTTTATTATTTTATTTTAACTCTGCATTGGAACTAAAAAGTTAAGTAGTGTAGTTAGTAATTAATTTGTGACGATGTTACTTTACAAACTATATAAAAACTGTGCTCTTCTACAAACAACTTTATATTCTAGGATTTTAGATTAAAATGGGTGACAGAAGGCGAGATTCTGTGTCAGATGACGAAGTCCCATACTCTCGTTTATTCATAGTTGGACCTAAAACTTTACAAGAAGATGAAGTAAGAAATGAATTTAAAGAGTTTGGCAACATTAGAGACATTAAAATTGTTAAAGATCGAACCACAGGAGAAAATAAAGGTAAGATATTCCTAATAATACTGAATATAAATGTATTGCTTGAATTTTCAGGAATATATTATGTACGATATACCAAAACATCGCATGCAGCTAAAGCTCTTGAAGAAATGAAAGGAAAAAATATAGGAGGTAGTAATATCAAAGTTATGATTGCTTCAAGGTAAGCACTAATATGTTTTTGTAGAAAAATACTAAATATTTGTTTTATTTAGTCGTCAACAGGGCTCAGTTAGAGATGATAATGAAGAGGACCATGTTAAAAGGTTGTTTGTGGTGGTGCCTAAAACAGCTGTTGAAAATGAACTCTATGATTATTTTAAGCTGTTTGGTGAACTTGCTTACATCAGCATTATAAAAAATAAAGAAACTAAACAGAGCAAAGGATTCGCTTATGTTAAATACAATAAGTAAGTTGAGATTATTTGAAAATTCTGTATTCATAGATGGTTGGGTTCTGTGACAATCCTACAACTTAATATTTGAAACTAAATAAATAAATTTTATTGTCCAAGTTACAAACTTGACCCAACAGTAATTAATAATAAATATTTTTTTTATTTAACAGCATTATGAGAATATATAATATACAGTGGTTGCTTGTAACCAAATTATTGGGGGTTCTCAATGACAGAATATAGATCTCAATACAGATGAAAGTAAAAAACTTAGTGTTTTAGAAAGGTATATTATACCTTTTATTACACACTGAAAGTTTTTTACCTACATCTGTACAGAGTTCTACATTCTGTGATTGTGAACACCCAATATTTTGGTGACTGGCCGCCACTGAATATAACTATTAATAGGGTTTAAAAACGAATATTAAAATTAATTTAGTTTAAGATCAGAATCAAGAAATTTACTTCCTAAAATGCATTTTCTATTAAAACTTTTTTCATATGATATTTCAGTTCTCTTGATTTCAAATCTCTTAGGTTACTTGTTAGCTTATTAAATAGTTGCATTGTCAAATGTTAGTAGTTGTTGAGTTTGTGGTAGTCTGTGATAGGGTATACAATAAAGCCCTGTCTATCTACTTTTATAATTATCTGATCTGGATCTGATAGCTTAGATAAATTACTATTTCCTTAATAAACATAATACAGTTTAAGATAAATATAGATGGCAAAGTAAGAATAATTAATGTCTTAAATAATGATTTACAATGTTCAGTTTGATATGCCTTAGCCAATATTTGAATAGTTGAATCTTAAAAATTACAGCTCTATCAATCGTTGCAATGGCCATTCATTTTCTTATTTGAAAAACAAATTTCTTTAGTTTGTTTACTAAATAATCTATAAGTTTTTCGTTTTAATGAAGTTACAATAAAGTATGCTGAATTGATTTTGCAGTGTTAACTAAGGTAGCATAATCTGCATCCAGACAAATATTTTCTTGGACACAGATTGGTAGGTTATTAATGTAGATTGTAGATCAAAAAGAAAATTGGTCCAAGGATTAAACCTTGTAGTACATCTATCTGCACAGATTTTGCAGTAGATATTTTACTGTTTGGTAAACTGACCAATTGATATATATTTTTGTAAGTAATGTATAAAAAAGTTCAATGTATCATCCCTTATCTCATAGAATGGTATTTTATCTATAAGAATTGAGTGATTAACACAGTCAAGTTCCTAAAAAAAAAGTATCTGATGGAATATTTCTATTATCAATATAACTTATAACATCCTTGATACTGCAATACGAGCTATGTCACAAATATGAAGACTAGAGAGAAGAAGGCGAATCGGCAATGGTCAAATTTCCGTCCTTCTTTTTATAAAGTTCGCGAAATTGACTGTAGTTGGCATGTTGAATGACAGCGGTGTCTATTTTCTATGTAAGTCAATGTAAAATGAAGTGATTTTTTAAAAAATTTGTTAAAAGAATCAAAATAATGTGAACGGGGACTGCCGCGGTAAAGCTATTGCATAGCATTTTTTATCAACTTATGCAATTATAATTATTTATTTATTTTATTTATGCAGTATTTTTTTTTCTTTGATATTAATTCAAGTTACACTTTTTGAGCGTGGTGACCGATAAGAAACCAAATTTTTTTCTTTTATTGAATAAATGAGAAGTTAATATTGTTTAAAATATTTTTATTATCTTACAATACATGTAGGTTGTTCAGGAATTTTTATCATTGAAACTATAGGTTTATGGTAACTGAAATAAGAAACATAAGTTTGAGACTTGATATCCTCTAAATATCTGGAAAATACCTCGTCAATGGTGGTCCCATATTTTGTTGTGGATTCTTGTGGATCATTATTCATTTTCAAATTCAATTTTTCCGAAATTGTGTCTAAAAGAGATGGAATCAGTTATGAGCAGTTAGCAGCTAGTCTACACGCATACGTCTAGTCGCACGCACACAAACACTGTGCCGAAGTCTGCCGAACTGAAACGACGTTAGACGATGCACGGCTTTTAACGTCGCACCGCTGTGCCGGTCGGAGTGGCGGGTGTTAAGTTTTTTTTTTTTTTTTTTTTTTTTCGTTACGGAATTTCTTGATTCTGTCGCTGCGCTCAAAGCCCGCGATAAAAGCTATGCAATAGCTTAAAAAGTACCTGTTGAAATTACATTCAACATGTCCTATCTGCTAAATACTAGGTAGACACTCCCTATATAAACCTCCGCTTTTAGCAAACAAAAATAATAAAGTACTGAATAGTCACTCCCTGTATAAACTAATTATCTAAACTTGAAACAACACGCTTGACTTTCAAATGACCGCCAGACACCTGCTATGTCGCAAAGACACCTGTGTCTTCGCAAATAGTTAATATGATCACGTACGCAATCATTTGATCTGGGACAGCCAATGAGAAAAAAAGGCGGTAAAACCGTCGCTGGCTGGCGGAATTGTATCGGAGAAAAAACTTTTACTTTCGTTTAGTCAGTCAAACAACTCACATCAAAAATCTTGTCAACGCCGGCAGCAAGCCGAAATTTAAGTAAAAGCATTTGTGCGATTTGATTTAAAAAGTTGTAACATGTAATCAATTAATAATTTATGTAACCAAGTATTAATATGTAAAATGTGGAATCAGTAAGCCGTGAATATATCAAATTCAAATATAAGGTGATAGTTTCATTTGAATAAAATCAGTGCATCAACCAGAACTTCGAGAGTATCTTCCAGAGGCTACAGGGTGGAGCATAAGGCCTTCACCCCAGGTAACATATTTCAAACATAGTCATACAGTCCACCATGATCGAAGGCAGTAAATGTCAAGCCCTATAAACCCAGGGTAAGACAGTACCTAAGTACAAATAACATGAGTGACAAAAACACCAAAGCAAGATTTACGTCGTTCCAGATTCTAAAACAGGATAAAATCTTCTAAAGCTTCTAATGTAAGTAAAATAATGTATTCATTTATCTTATGAAGTGTAGTTTATTTTATAATATAAAATTTTACAGTCATAAATGCTGACTTACAAACAACAATAATTATGCATTAAATTTAACTTACTAGAAAAGAAAAATTATTTTTTATAGAGTTTTAATGTTAGATAAAGAGTTGCTACTGTTATTTTTTTTTTTTTTACCCCAATTGTGTCATTGTAAATGTTTTTAAAGGATACTAAACGTTTAGAACAGTGGCAGCATATATATCGTTCCAAGTGCCGATAAAGCACTTTCTAGAGATGATGCTGTTCTATACTTTTTAGAAGATAGGTATCAAATATTATGAGACTATTTTTACTGATGGTATTGTTAGCAAAATAAAAAGGGGAAAGCTGAAATTAAAGGATGAGGTAATACCATGTACATTCCCAAATCTCCCTTCATACTTGTATTACAATAATAAAAAATCTGTTAACTGTGTTTTATTTTACTCTTAAAATTGTATATTGGTTCAATTAAAAAAAAAAAAAAAATATGTCCACAAAATTTCGGCATTTAAGAAACCTTTTCGAATTTGGTCATACATATCTAAATTGTATTTTATATAGATAAAATTAAATCATTTATCAATTAAAACATGCAAGACTTATTTAGAAATAAATACAACAGTATGTTCTGTGCTTTATTTAGCTATAAACAAGTTTATTTTTATTATTTTGACAAAATTATGTATAATTCCCATAAGAAGCTATGTATTTTGAACACCGTATGCAGTACCAGCGTCCATGCGGTTAATTATAGAAGCTCAATTAGCATGCGTTTTTTGGGACCGTATTTTGAGTTTGCCGATTCACCTCCTTATCTTCATAGTCACAAAAAAATGCCAAGTACTATATAAGAATTCCTTCATATAGTTGAATCCATTTTCAAAACCAGAATCTAATTTCCTTACAAAAGGTTATATAGAGTGTAGAAAATAATTTTCTATTTCTCATTTTTTCATTTCTCTAGATATAAACTTAATTTCTGGGTCCTGGATGGTAGGATTGTCACAAACTTGTAAATCATATCGATAGTTTTCGAAAAAAATGAAATTTAATTCTATGTAGGTTTTCCGATGCGGCTAAGGCTTACGAAGAGTGCGAGAGGAAATTCAAACCTAAATTTGCGGAACCCAAGAGACCGTCTGACGATTTTGCTAACAGTTACAACAAAAATTCATACCATTCCGCACCACAGGATCCGCCTTATAGATCGTCCATGAACGACGGTGGTCCTAGACACTCATCTCCTTTTTTCAAGGAGGACGGAGTCTATAAGCTGTCGGTGGTCGCTAGTCCTGCTGTTAATCAAGATCAGATGTGGAAATTGTTCGATATTGTGCCTAGTAAGTCGATAAATATAAACAAAAGGCCCCAGAATGTTAATCTCCATTAATAAATATACTCTAAGAATGCATTTATTATTTCAGTCTGAATTGAAAAATAGATTTGCATCAAAATAACAATAAACTTTTGGAGTTACTGCAAACAAAGGCAACCTTAGTTTCTGTTAAATAGAATACTGACGGCTTTAACAATAACTAAAGTTGCCTTTATTTGTGCTCACTCCAAAAATGTTACTTTGACGTCGGCGTAAAACCAGATCAAACCATGGGCTCATCTTTTCACTTCTGAGTAAAGTGACAGATTAACAAACAATAGTCCTATATTTATTTAGCAAGTAGTTACTTTCAACTTTACTCAGAGGTGAAAAGACTGGCCCTTAGTTTAAAATAATACGCGGCTGTCTAAAACGTTAAAAATCGGGTTATTTTAGGCCTCGACTTCTGCCAAATCCGCTACGACCATGGTCACAGACAACGAGCGCCGCAAAATAATTTCGAAGTCGTCTACACCAACTCCGAGTGGGCGATGTACGCCGTGGAAAAATTCCACGGTTTCGAGTACCCACCAGGTCAACGATTGATTGTGAAATTAGAAAACCAACAGAGTTCAATGGGCGGCGGTACAATGCCCGTTAAACGATCTGCCGCGTCGCTTGGGGAACCTTCCGGGATAGGTAGTCCCAATAAACCGGATCTTATGCAATTGGCGGAGACTATTGCTCAAGCTAGTTCGTTGATCAAAGCAGCAGGCTTGAATCCAGGTAAATTAAAAAAAAAACGAATTAGTTGTTTTTTGTCAAAAAGTACTCAAATTGTCTTGAAACTTTCGAAGAAGAATTAGTGTGATTTGGAATAAATTTTATTACCAAGTCTTATATGTTCAAGCTCATTACATAAAACTCTTTTCTAAATGCATATGTTTAACTCTTTGACGTTACGGAATATTTTCTCCAGCAATTCCATACACTAATAATTAATAGGTACTTGGGACAATCTTTTTCTTAATAGACTTTAATGTATATTAACTCTAAAATGATTTTTCTCACTATATTTTAATCTTATTATGAATTTAACCAAACTAAATTACAATTTTTATAGACTAATTTCATCTATCAAGTAAAATAAATTATTTCAACATATAGAAGATGTAACCAGCTTCCAAATGATATCCAATAGTAATAATAATATCAACCATATCCTAGTTAAAACTTAAAAATAAACATAGCACACGTTTCACTTCACCTGCTTTAAATATTCACGATTTGTGTACATGATTTCAAGTCACTTGTTTGGAATTTTTATTTGTATCTTAATTTTGGTATTTATTTGGTTAAAGATTGATTGAATTGAGAAAGTATTTACTTTTTTAAGATTTACTCCAACCTAAACTGGGTAGAAGCGATCCCATAAACGAAGAAGGTTATTGCAGCGTGCCTTTACCAGAGGCCAAACCGCTTCTTCATATCGACACCAAAACTGAAGCCAGGTATTTTTTAAATAGATATTTAAAATCGATAAGAATGAAATCCTTCATAACATACTTTTTAGGTGCTTTGTAATCTGTTTCCCGCAGACGCTCTCTCCGGGCGTGTTGAAGGACATTTTCTGTAGATTTGGAAGTCTGATCGATGTTTACATGTTGCATAACAAAAATTGCGGTTATGCCAAGTACGCTTCGAAGGAATCCGCCGAAGCGGCCATCAAGGTATGTAAAATTAGAAATTATGTAAGCAAAATATGTGAATTTTTCAATTTCAGACTCTACACGGAGCGGAGGTTCTTGGGACGCGCCTTAAAGTATTTGAAGCAGAAGAAAGACCTGATAAAAGGCAAAGATTAGACGCAGATGGTAACTAAGTGGTAAGTATCGTTTTGAAGTAATTTTTCTTTCATGTGACATCTAAGACCAGTCGTGTCGTCGGTAAGTCATTTTGTATGTAGGACCTGTTTTAACTTGGTTACATTGGTTGTCTCACAAGATTTTTTTAGGTTGCTAATCAGTGTTGTCATTTGTCATTCTTATTAATTTAATCTGTTTCTTTTTTACAGCAGCATCAGAATGTGTCGAAAGTAACTAAATAAACAGTCAAATTAATACTCATCTACTTTTATTACGTATAAATATAAAATAAACATTGAAATGTCTTACAATTAATTCACCTTTTTGATCTTATTTTTATTGATCGTTCTTCTCCAAATCTGGTAATGCTTCGACCAATCTTTCTTATTCTTGTATAGATGGGCAAACGTTCTGATCCAGTAATTTAAATCGTTGTATTTGTAGAAACCCTCTCCACTTTTCATTCCAAGTTTTCCCTTTTCGACTAAACGTTTTTGCGATAAACAAGGTTGGAAAATCATATTTTCGGGTTCTTTATACCTCCATGCTTCTACCTAATCTTAAAATTAATTACAACAAAAGTATAAGGTACACACAAAAATTATCACACAACCTGAAAAATTAAAAAAAAAAAATTAATTTAATTATTAAATTTGAAAATTGTCAGTATATGCTTGAAATATTAACTATTGTAGTATAAAATGGTTATAGCAAACTGCAGTTTCCTCTGAAAATTCATTGAAATTACATAGAAAATTAAGATGTCTTGTTGATTATAATAATTGAATGCCATAATGACAGTGGTGTTCCTTTGAGGGTGGAACGGAAGTGTATAAAGGAACAACACATATCTATTGTTTTCTATAACTTATCTAATGGAAAGTAAAAGTAAAACACGCTGGTTTAAAAATATATATATTTAATTTTTGGAACAAGAAATTTGGAAGAATTTATTGAAAATATACAATTTTATTTTTCCATTAATTGCGAGAGGAATGGTGATAAAGATGTTTAAAAATGAGACCAACAAAATAGTGTGATTTGTTTGAATGATTTAATGAAATTGTTTGTGATGCTTCCGTTTCAAGCTTAGCTGTACTCATGCTCACATTTCAAACCCGATTGGCTAGATATTTTTACCATATAAATTACTTAGTTACAACGCATGTGAGAGGCATTGCTTCAATAAAGAGGCAAAGCACTATTATTTTTAACGTTTTGTGTAATTCACTGCATTTGACTCTGTGGTCCGATGTTTTTTTAATTTGTGTTGTAAATTGACCTTGCCATTTTCAATTAACGTACCGCTTCTTCGTCAGTTCAATGACATATCAGTCGTCGATGATCGTCCATATTTAACAAAGATGCAAGCAAAAAATTTAACAAGTAATTCACTTAATAATTGATATCAAAGTTAAGAACTTTATAGACAGTAACATTCGCAAATCCTAATATTTCGTCTTATGGTCAATATACATATACAAGGTATCCTTTGAAAGTAAAAATTATTTCTAAATTAATAAGTGATGTGATAATTTTTGTATTATATTAATTCGTCAGTCCCCTGCTAAAACCGCGGATATGATTTTTTATTTATTTTTACAGGAGAGCTTATTTTTTAAGTTATAAATTCATAATATAATAAATCGCATTGTATAATTATTACATTAACTATTTAAGTAGTTTAATATAGTTATTAACAACTTGTTTTCTATGCATAATTAAATATTTTTTGCTGAAAACAAGAATGTGGAAAATTTACATATTCATTGTTTTGGCATGGTACCGACGAATGTAAGTTGTAAAATTTTAATCGCAAGCATGCTTCCTCAAAAATGCAATATAAACATGTTTCTACTAACCAAATTTAAAATAGTATCATGACCAAGATGGTCGGCTAGCTGAATGGGACCCAAATCTTGACCCATAATTGATCTCATGGCTGTGTCAATATCTTTTCTTGAAACGCCTGTTTTTTCCATCAGTCTGATTGCTTCTGTGACATAGGTGATTATTAATCTATTCACGATGAAGCCCGGGGAATCGTTGCAAATAATAGTTGTCTTGCCTAAAAAAATTAAGTGCACCCAGTATATAAGAGTTATTTATCGCTATGTAATTCAAGCAATCTGTTACTCTATTCTAATTGATTGAGAATGGTCTATCACGGTTTCTTTTCTAGACACTGATGCTCTCTTTTCCGTCTAATGTCCTTCCAGTCTTTCCACATTTATCTAGAGGTACATTCGGCCGATAAAATTTGAGAAACAGTTAACGAAACATTTGAGATTCAATCGTTCGACACTTGAGACACACAATAGTAAAATTTTGTACACTTACCGATACTTTTGCACCAATCAATCACAGACTCCATAATTTCTTGACTTGTAAAGGGATTTTTAACTACTTCTACTAATTTAGTCGAGACTACAGGATGAAAAAAATGTAGCCCCAATAAACGTTCTTTTCTTAACGATTTTTCGGCAATCGCTGTAACTGACAGGGAATCAGTTGTGGTTGCGAAAATTGTTTGCGACGAAGCCGATACGTTTAGGCTTCTAAAAAGTTTGACTTTCTTTTCAAAATTTTCGGGTATGGCTTCAATTACCAGATCTGCTTTTTCGATAGCTGTTTTTGTATTGGTTGTGCCTAGGAAAATAGCAAAAATATTATGTTGTCAGTTATTTTGATAATAATCCCTTATTACTATTATGCAATACCTTTGAGATAACTTATAGTATTTTCGATATATTTCTTAACGTTTACGTCATTATACTTGTAAATACTTCTCGCCGTATGACTCAAAGAATCTACGATCCTATCAAAGGATTTCCTTATGGATTCCTCGTTGATTTCTACTAAAAGTACGTTCTGTGCATTCTGAGCGGCTAATTGGGCTATACCAGATCCAATTTTACCTCCTCCAATTACTGTTACAGTTTTTATAAATTTTTGGATTGATTTAGTCGATGTGCTTAAACAGATATGATTATGTGACATCTTGTCATTGTTAAAAGTCCGTCGACGATTGAAATTTAATCTAGGTTAGCCAATCGATGAAATACAGGGTGGTGTGTCTGATCAAGGACTGTTAAGTATAATTTATAACCACCGTAACTTAACTTAACGCCGTAGAAACTTAACCTAAGATATAAAAATAAAGTCTATTTATAAATGTCCGTAACGTAAGAGTAAAGCATGCGTGTTGATTTCAGAGATTATCAAATTATTGACAACCTTATGAAATAAACAAGTGTAAACTATGTACTTAACCTCTAAATAAAACTTATAAATTATGATTTTGCTATATAGAAAGAATATATTAACTACTTTAAAAGCAATAATATAAAAATATAATAAAACAAAATAGTTTACCGAAGATGTTGATTGTTTTTGAGCAATAATGAGAATTTAATCTTTCCTAGCAAAAAAGTTTTGTCTTATTTCAGTTCTAGACTTGATGTTTGTAGGTATATGCAGCTACACTCATATCTCATAGATAGTTTATCCCCAATAACATAAACACAAATCATTCATGATAATGTATGTCCATCAAAAAGGAGAATGATAGTTTACAAATGGTATTTTTCTATTTATTTATAAAAAAAAAAAATAAAAAGAATAATTGACAGTTATCACATGCTGAACGCAGAATTATCTCATTGGCTAACCGTAAGGTCTTAAGTTAAGTTATGTTGTTAAGTTAAAAGTTGGTGAACTTTCTACGGTACGTTAAGTTCTTAAGTTACGTTACGAACATTATAAATAAGTATACGTAAATTCAATATTTCAACTTCTTACGTTAAGTTCTTAAGTTACGTTACGGCGGTTATAAATTAAGCTTAAGGGACTGTATCTCAAAATGAGAGTTTAAGCAGTAAAGATTTGAAGTATGTTAACATAAAAATAGACGTAAACACAATAATGTTTATATTCTAATTAAAAAAATAGCGATTATTTTAGTTGTATTCTATTAAGTTTCCCAAAGATCCCCATGCCATTTAAATAGGATTTATAGTGAAAATAGTACAAAGGCAACTGTAAAACTTCATATCTATTCTCCTATTTTGTCCCACAGTCGCTTTTAAATAATTTTGGCCTTAATTTAACTTTTCCTGCATTTGGATTTGTATTAATAATTGCTATACCACCCAATTTTTATTTATTGTTTATAGATTTGTGGTAAAAAAAAAACTTAATATTATTTTGGCAAGTTTTTCAAATTTTGTGTGAAAATTCAACAAATGCTATTTAAATTTTATGTTTATCATAATGTCTTAAAATACTTGGTTTCTTTTTTTAACTTTAAAAATTATCATGATTTTCTTCCTCCTCTAGATGAAACCGACATAACTGAGCTGACTAGACTTAGTACCAACAAGAACAACATTATAAACCTTAGAAGTTAACAAAGACCCAAATGTTATCGTGTAAACTACAGCACACTTGAATTAATACCTACATTACGTTATTTTTTTTTTCAAAGACTGGACGGATCACTAATAACCATACACTGAAAAAAACAGTTACTTTACTTTGAGTTTTTGATTAGGACTATTTTGTTTTACGTTATAAGGTTTTCTCGATTTGTTTATGTTTGTAGTGGGGCAAATTTTAAATAAAGATTTTTGTGACTTAATTGGTTTTTATTTCTGCTTGGATAGTATAATCGTTTTAATGATTAAATAAATAAAATTCTACTGTCTAGGCAAAATGCCCGAATATTCTCCATTCTAATTAATAAAGTATGCTTAATTTTTATTTTATTAGAACATACGTTACAGAAAGTACATTTCCTAAGTAGCATACAAACAAAAACAACACGTTAAAAACACAAAAATGAGACACAAAAAATAATAATAAGAAAATAATTTTTTACGTCATTTATAAACAATGGAAATAGAACGGGTCCAATGTGGAAATTTTGCGGAACACCGAACGTCACTAATATATTACACAGGAGAGACTGAATTATGATCAGATAGTTACCAGATATGCCAATTTGAGAAAGTTTCTGAGCTAGCAACTTATGACGGACACTATCGAACCACATTCAGGTATTATTTTGCGTACAGTGTTTCAAACGTCTGTTTATTATTTATCCATATACTACGTTTTATGGTAAAAAACAAAACTTAGTAATTTTTAACTAAACAAAAATTAATAATTAATACAGTTTTAGAGACTACAATGATGGTTACAGCAAATTTTCGAAATATCCACTAATTATTATTAATAATTATTTAATTTAATTAGTTACGCCACTGGTCAAGTAGATATGAAGGATTTCATAAAAACTTAAAATAAACATGATTATAAATTAATGTATTACACTATCAATTCATTCTAATATCAATTAACTCAAAAGTAAAATGTTTATCTTAAGTTCACTGGTCATCTCTGCTTTCTTAATAATATCGACTACATGTTTTGATATAAATAACGTTAATAAAAATATAACTGTGTTAAAAAAACATTCTTATATGAATTTAAATCTGGTGGTCTCAATACGAATTCAAAATTGCAGTGTGAAAATTATTGAAGAAGAAGCTTTTAAAAATGTGTCCGTTTTATTATTGGAGATTACTGATAACAATATTAAAAATTTAACCAATGGAAGTTTTGCTGAAGTGTTGTTTGTTGATCTTATTTTAGATCGTAACGAAATAGAATTGATCGAAGAAGGTACTTTCAATAATATTCATCCTTTGTGGAAAGGATTATTATCCCTACAGAAAAATAATATAGAAACGATAGAAAAAGGAGTATTTAATGGTACCGATATTCGAATTTTATCTTTAGACGATAATCAAATTACAAATATTCAACCTGGTGCTTTTGAACAAATGCATCACCTTCGAATTTTGACTTTAAGTAAAAATAAGTTGAGGAACATTGGTGTTGGGATTTTCCAGAATTTTCCTGGGCTGTTTTCTCTGGATTTATCAGAAAATCATATAAACAAAATTGATAAATTGGCTTTTGAGGATGATAAAGAGTTATTTCTTAATTTGGAAAATAACACGATTTCTACCGAAGTATCAAAATGGTACTTTGAGAATACGAAAATTATTGCTTTGTTTAAATAAAATGTGTTTAATTGTACAGGTTACTAAAAAATAAAACATTTTTGAAGTATTTGAAAGTTAATGTATTGCATTATATGAATAGGACATCGAATATTATCTTTTCTATTCTTTTGTGACAACGCAAAAAATTGTTTCTACGTCACTGGAGACTAGGAAACACTTGTCAGCCATATTTGTACACCGATTCAAAAATTGATTTATGATATGGCAACCCTGTGGGCCTGTTGTCTTTGACAGGATCAATGATATTAGATAATTCAAAGTGAGTCGTTTGCGAGCATCCATATTGGGTGCTATGATTGAACGTTTACGTTATCCGTAACGTACATGTTAGGCCGAGTTTTAACAGTAATGAGGCAAGTTCGTATGATGGAAAACTTTTTCCAATACGTTACTGTTATTTTCCGCCTGTTATCTTCTAATTTAACAGTTTTCCATCATCCGAACTTGCCTCGTTACTTTTAAAATTCGGCCTAACATGTACGTTACGGATAACGTAAACGTTCAATCATAGCACCCATTGTCTAGCAACTCATCCAGAATCAGCAGACGATTCTCTCATCTTTCAATTCGGCACGTGTTGAGACGCCTATCTTCGTTTAACAGAATGTGATTCTAATGTAATGTCCTCTCTATTTACCACGTAACGTGCAGTTGAGTTCTCACATAAGAATCTCTGTTCAGTTTAGTAAAATGGGTTTTAAAATCAATTTTTTAGCCTTTGAATATTGTAAAGAAAATATATAATACCTTCATTTTTACTTCAAGGTGTAAGCTTTTGAGAAACATGGATCATCAGTCTATAGGTCTTTTCCTTTGCATCGAAAGTGTAGCACTGGTCTACCATAGATAAACTAATAATTATATTAATTTATCTATGTGGTCTACACAACTTCTGAAAATATCGTTCCATTTATACAAATTGTATGGATGGAACGATATTTTCAGAAGTGGTGTAGCTCATTGCTACACTTTCAATGCAAAGGAAAATACCTTATATTGCTGCGTTTGAGAATCCACATCGGATGCATTTTTTACATCTCGAGCGTTTTTTTATCCACATCTGACACATCTGTCCCATTACATTTACGTATACTGAATCACGTGATCAAAGATTTACTACATCTCAGATGCATCCGATGTGGATTCTCAAACGCAGCATATAACAATCTATATCATTGACCATGTCAAAATAACTGGACTAAGCATACAAATAATGCGTTGAATGTACATTTAAAAATAATCTATTTTGCACTCATAGAATCATTATTAAGTTATAGGATCCTTTCTTGGAAAGGTGTTTTAGGGTCGATTTCACCGTTTTGTGAAATGAAGTTTAAAATACTAATGAAGATTAAACTGACATTTTTACATTAACAATGTCATTTTAATCTTCGTTTAGTAATTTAAACTTCGTTTAACACAAAGGTGGAATCGGCCCTTACCTGCTTATGCAAAATTGTCCTGCAAAAAATATTACTAATAATATTATGTAATAAAATGATCAGAAATTCTCTTCGATATTAGGAAGTTTTAT